GTGGTCCCTGCCCCTTACCGCCTGGGTTACACGCTTGTCCGGATTTTTAGCCGTCGCAACCCAGCGCCCCCTTGCCGCCTCCTTCCTGGAGCCTCCTGCCTTGCGCTGAATGCCTCAAGTACGGGCCCCTGCCAAAGCTGCACGAGGTCCTCGATGGTGTGTGCTAGGGCTGGCCTTGCGCCTCCTGTCGCTGCCTGTTGTCCACGACACGGAGTAGGAGTGTAGGAGCGACGCGGACATTTTTCTGCAGGCGCCACAAGGCGTGCGCAAAAAAAGGGCAAGTAGAGTTGGCACGTGGCTGATGCCGCCTGTACATCATGGACAAGCGGGATGGCTTGCAGGAGGATCAGGAGGCGGTCGTGTTCCGTGCTCTTGAGCTCCAAGCACTGTTGGACGTAGGCGTCGCTGCCAAAAAACGCGCCAAGAACAGTGAGCTTCTGTTGCCTCACAGCTGCCCCTGCACCTCTTCCATCGCGGGGTGTTGCGCGAGCGAAACAGAGCGGGCATCAGCGGATCTCCTTGTTCACCGCGCTCCGCTTGTGCAATAATGTTGCGGGAGGCACCTTGCTCATCAGTCCAACACCGTAAAATTGCCGAGAGTATCCGAGCACAAGGGAGGAGCGGCCGGCTCTGGGCGGGCATGCCGGGCCGCCAGCATAACCCTTTCGGCAGGGAGCCTGCGCGACGCCCTCGCCTTTCAGGGGCACTGTTGGGCCGTCGACCCCCTCGCCTTTTTTGGGGGCCTGTTGCACAGCAAACCTTAATTCAACTTTTTCGTTAGGTTTCGGTGGGTTGCCCTCGCCATCGCTCGCCTCGCTTTTCTGAGGGACGGCCCCCGCCCCGCCCACCAACTGGCCCGAGACTGAGGAAGAGAGCGAAGGCCGGGCAAGCTCGCGATCTTCCCGAAGGAGCTCGAGGCATGGCAAGGGCAGCGAGAAGGGCTCGTGGAAAGGAGCCCACCACGGCGCAAGGACCTCTTGGAGAGGTTGACGGAGAAAGTGCTGATGCCGCTATCAGATCAGCCCTGGAGGTCATCAGGGTATGGATGGTGCTGGAAATGTCGACCTCGTCCCAACAAAACGCCGTGTGATTAAAGCCGCCACCCGCAACAGGGTTGCATACCAGGAGGTGCGGCAAGCTTTGCTGTCGATGTTTGAGAACCGCGTCGGCAAGTCAGCGAAAGTTTTTGCCTCCGGCAAGGGCGTCCTACAACACCGAGATGGAGCCGGACTACGTCGACAACGGCACCTACTACACGGACGCTCTACCCGAACGACGGCGGCGGCGACGGCACCGAGGACTGGTGGGGCCAGCCGGCCCAATGGAGCTACTTTGGGGAAGCCGACCCCGCACAGGCCGAGATGAACAACGAGGTGTTCGTCCTGAAGGACGACCAGCGGGAGTTTGAGAACCAGCACGAGATCGAGGCGATGTTGGCAGAGAACGACCGAAACCTGATTCACGTTTCACGTAACCCCTGCTAGACAATACTAGTTATGCAGCACTTTGTGCTACAGTTTCTGGAGGCGGGTCAGAGAGCGTCACTCATTCTTCCGACCCACAAATCAGTATCTGTATGTGCGTCTAGCTTCTCTCTTTGTTGGAGTGCGCAGCAGCATCTGCAGATTCCTCGCGAACCTGCGGGATAGCTCAGACGGCAGTTGCTTCAGGATCGTTCGTGCTGTTTGGACATGTTTGGACCATATGTAATGTTAAGAAAACGTCTGGAGCCCCGCCCCACTCCCCCGCGAACCCACGCCCTGACCAACCCGCGCCGCGGCAGCAGACCCTTGCGGGGGCATGCAGCGCGAGATCAGGCGAGTCCCCCTGATGGGCAAGGGCAGCCGAAGGCGGCGCCTCATGGCGACGTGTATGAGCATCGGAAGGGATCGCCGCGAGCCACATACGGGCGTGGCGGTCAGGCAGTTCAGCAAAGTCCAAGCTAGCAGCTGCTAGCAGTGGCTTTCGGGCAGCTGCGCGTAGTCGTGGGCAGGGAGGCGGTATATAGCATTGACGTTATGGCAAGCCGGACGTGTGCGTCATTGTGAAGCGGCACTAGCGGGCGGCGGCAGGTGGGCAGTAGCCGTGGTGGTGGAGGCATTCCGCCAGGCAGCCCAAATGCACAGTCGTGCGAGAACAGGGGAAGTCGTGAGCAGCAGTCGGCAGCACACATGCTCTATGCGAAGCCCTCAGGCATGATCTGGCGACGCGGCCTGAGCTGGAGGAACGGGCACTATTGAGGGCTGTCAGGAACTGTCGAAGGGGAGGCGGGGATGTAGTGCGACATGGTGGTTGCAAAGGCATTACTCGCTCTTTTTCGCCTTCCGGCACGGGGAAAACTGTGCTGAAGAAAGATGAAGAAAGTGCCGCAGCCCTCAATTTTTGGAAAAGCAAGTGAGGGCTGGCAGGGAGAAATGGCTGAAGCGGGGAAACAAAAATGGCAGCGAGGCAGGCCTCTTACGGCAGCCTCGCGGATCCGACGCTGCTGCAACTAATCCGAGCTATGCCCGATGCACTCCAAGATCAGGGCCTGGAAGGAGCACAACAGGGGCCAGCAGATTGCACAGAGGTTGCAAGGAAAACAGATACAAAAGGCTTGAAGCAGCGGGTGCCGGCAGCAAGGACGGATGCTCTTTTTTGTCTGTCTGTTCTGGAGCAGCAGTTTTCCGCAAAGGCCCCGGCACGACGCTGAGGGCAGGTCAGCAGGGGAGGAGATGGCCGCGGAGCAGGTGGCTGGGTTGTGGGCTCCCCCCCGACAGCAAGCTGTGCAGGCACCCACGAACTCTTGTTCCACGCCCTCACTTGAACACCTGCAATCTCAAGCAGCACAGCTGGCATGCCCGCCCCCTGTACTTGAGCCTACGATGAGACCCAACCGCGCACTCAGCGCCCAGGAGCAATGTCAGTCGGCCTCCCCAGCTGCACCACAGCGCCCAGGAGCGAACGACCGACGAGGAAGAGGCTAAGATGCTTGAGCCAGGCTGCAGATTTTTCTTCCCGCCCTTCCCCACCCACCGTCCCTTCAAGATTAAAAAGGGTCCCTCGCCGAACCTGCCGGAGCTGCGTGGGGTCCTGACAACTGCAGAAAGGGCCACACCAACAGCTATTCTATGTTGCGGGCCCGCGGCTGCAGGGATCTCGATCGTGTCACCTTCCACATACGTGCAGGGACGTGGGTAAGTCTTCAATGCATGCACTGGCATCTCAGAAGGCCACGACATCTCAGCATGAGCTCGAAGCAAGATAGCTTGAGCCAATATGCCATTGTCCATCCTCATGTTGTTTTTTGCATTTCTAGCAAGCTTGGCGTAGGTCAAATCAAGTCAACACAAGCACATTTTGCCAGAACAACCGGGGGCCTTGCTACTAGTAGCAGAAACTTATCCAAGAAGGTTCATGCCGCAAAGTTTCTCCTGTTGTTTCTGCGTGTTGCCGCGCAGAGCTCATGCACTATGGCCGATGCAGGGGAAGAAACGGAGGTGCGTGCGAATGAAAAAGCGTGTGTAGCACTAGTCAGCAACGCTGGTGAAACCATTGTAGGAGGAAAACGAGCTCCTTCAACCCGGCGCGAACCTTGCATTGTGGGGAGCTGCAGCCGTTGAGGCGCCATGCACACGCGCTGCACAGAAGCTTGTGATCTGAGCTGTCAAGCTGGCATTTTGTTCTCAGGTGCAAAACGACCCAAGTTCACAGTCCGCAGCTGCATCCTCACGTGCGGGGCTGCATTTTTACTGGCCGTGTATGTCACACCCAGGTAGCCCATGCTGTGCAGAAGGATGGTCGCGCATTGATTCATGCCACACCAGATTTGAAGGAGCAGAAGGAGGCGCTTCCCTCACGTGCGTCCAAGTTTTGTCACCTGTAATCACGAAACAGGTGGCTTTGAAGGCGGTGGCTGCAGATGGCACTGCCCTTATGTTCGTCTCAGAAAATATGAAGCAAGACAAGGAGTCTGAGGGGTTTTCGCCATCCGCTTCATGCAGCTGGGGTCATATCGTAAGCCAGATTCGAGCAGTGAGCGGCGGTGAGGAAAGGTCAACGCATGTCCGGAAGCAGGCGCTCTTGCACAGGACGTCGTTCTCGCGGCTGTGCGACAAGTCGGAACTGCCTTGCGTGCCGTGCCCAGCTTGGCGACATGGCACAGCTGCCACATGACTCAATCTGTTTTGTGTTGTGCAACAAGTTGGGCTACACTTTTGGCAAGGTCTGGCTGCTGAGCCATTGGCTGCCGACAAAGATGTAGCCCCTGACTTCACAAAAGGGTCATTGCGAGTTCCTCATTCCGCTTTTGGCACCGGTCTTGGTATCTCTCTCCAAGGTTCTTGCGGCTGTGCGCCAGTGTGGACAAGCGCTGCGCCATGCTGCCGAACAGTTGCGTGACGACAAGGAGCATCTTGCGGGCGGATGGTTCTGATCATTCTCGAACTTCCGAAGGAGGTGTGCTCAGCAGCTGTGCAGCAGAACGGTCGAGCGTTGAAGCACGCTTCGGAAAGACTCCGGGCCGACAAAGAGGTGGTTGATATGGCCATTGAGAATACAACAGCTGCTCGGATGGGCAAATGTGTCATCCGTAATCAGAGCACGCTTCCTTTTGCAAGACAGGAAGCTCTCCCTTATGCTGTGCCCGAGCTGAAAGAGGCGCATCCCACCAACTGGTTGCAGAAACGTGTTGTTCTCCTTCACCGTTCAGGAATGGGAAAATGTACTGACAGAGAGATGGAAAGCAGCCGGTCTTCACATTGAGCGGCGGTTAGCAGGACAGATAGTGAACCAGATTGCGACCAACTGAGCCTCGAGGTTTCACCCTGGTCTGTTGTGAGCAGAGCGACAGAAGGGAAAAGAAAGACAGCACGACAGCTCAAGAGCCGTCTGCACCATGCATATCGAGCACTGCGGCGCTGAGGGCCATGCACGACTATGCGCTTGTGCATACGTTGTTTTTGTTTTTCAGAGCCGCCAGCACCGTGTTCCCATCCATTGTTGCCATAGTGCCATGGCAGATGGTTGAACATGCAGCCCGTGACTTCCAGTCCGCACTGCAGCAGCTGAATGCCACCAGCGGCAAGCCAGCCAGCTTTGGTTGCACTGCCAACTGCCAAATCTGAAGCCAAGCTTAATCATTTTGCATAAATGATGTGCTTGGCGATGACAAGTGTGAGCTGTTGAGTGTTGCTTTTATCCGCCCGCGATCTGCAAGCCATACTGAGGTGCACAGCTCGTGTTGGAGAATAACAGTCCTGCACAAACTGGTGCCGCATCGCTGTGGTCGCAGAAGCCAACTTTGCACCTTGCCATGTCACGTTCTTCAGACCAGGGGGCCGGCAAACGCTCTGGAAACATGCTTAAAAATCGGGAGAAGGAACCCCGGTTCCCTCCACCGCAAAAAATATAATGAGAAACCCACAAGAGTAGAGCATATAGAGCACACACGTAGGAACTTCAGACACAAGGATTCGTCTAATAAGGGAAAGGTAAAGGAAAAGGCAGCGCCCGGGCCAACGTCACCCGCTGAAATGGCTCAGACCAAGACATGCGTGACATGCACAAAGGGGTAAGAGCTCTATTGATAAAGGCAGAGAGTGTTCAGTACTCATAGACTCATGGGTGAAAAGAAATAAGACAAGATGGTGGCTGTGGCCGGGAGGTAAAGCACAGAGTTGCGTGATGTGTTGGACACTGGTTTTGGGTTGCCTTCGGTGGGCTACTGCTCGTGGACCAACAAGGATATGCTGCAGAACTTGCAGGGTTCGGAGTTCGGTGATTGATCCTGCCAATAAGAATGGTCCAAGAAGCGCTTCATGTATGTAAGCATGCATACGAGAATTTCCATAGGAATTTCTCTGCCGCCCGATCCCCTCTTGATACTCTTGCTTTCGTAGCAAAGTAGGGTGTCTAGACACCTGTGCACATTCCTCTGAGGTATTTCGACTTCGACGAGCTCGATGAGGAGGAAATTGGTCGACCACCACTGTCGGCAGCAGTGCCAGGTGAAGGACAAGCGACTTCGACGCGAAGGCGAAGCATGAGCAGTGTGCACAAGTCACAAGTCTTTCGTCTGAGAAGAAGGGAAGAAACAGATTTCAGGCTTTTCGAGGGCACCGTGACATTGCAGATCGTTGCAGTTCCTGAGCTGCAAGCCGTGCAAGCACCTACAGCCTTCGGCTGCCGGTGTAGCCGGCAGCACTGCAAACAGGTTAGTACATCCTTTAGTAGCCAGCCCAGTACGAAAGGCAAGTCAATAGACCGCAAAGAAGCGGACCCTGCTTCTTTGTTGCTCGTCTTCCGTGCCCGTTTTGGCCGTTCCACCCCAGACAGGATCTCCCTAGTGTTTACATCTGTTCAGTGATTTGGTGTTGTACGGATTCGCCCGGGCAGGGATGAAGCAGAGGGCAGAGAAGTCATTGCAGGTTTGCGGGTGGGCGGGGGGGGCGGGGGGTGGGGGTGGGGTCAGGTGGTGTAGGCAGGAAGAAGGACACGCCGCCACGGCTTCGTTTGGGATGCTCGGTTTTCTGCGTCTTGCAGCCCGTTGATAGCAGCCTGTTTGGGGATCCGATTCGAAATTGAAACATCAGAGACGGCTGCTCAGCTAGTCTGCAAGAATGAACGTTGTTCGAGCAATCACGTTATTGTTCTTCCGTGGCGACTTGAGACAGTCGCAACCCGAGGCGATGACTGGGGGCGAGGTATGTTCGTTGGTGAATACCGCACTGAACTGTACCATCTGGGACGTTAAGGAGGGCTTCCGCCTTTCGTGGATGTGTGTGTGTGTGTGTGATAAAGTATCCGCCCGCTGAGTGGGACAGGAGCGCATCGAGCGCAAGGAAGGGACGAAACTCAGCGCACAGAAGTTGCTTTGTGCCAATGGCCAGGCTTGGACATGATAAGCCTGGAGCAATGCCCGTCTTCAGTTTTTCGCAAACTTAAGTTGGAGGTTGCGCACGACGATGCCATTCTTGCAGATGTGGTGGACCACAAGCAGCCGGCGCTCAGCCTTGTCCGCTCTCCCCCTGTCTGGGCTGGAGACATGGAAGCAAGCAGTATTCATTGCCCGGATGCCCTTGTTCAAGCACTTGAGCAGACACGTGTGTTTGGTTGCGGCACCAAGGGCTGCTGGCGAACATCGCAGCTGGGGAAGTTCAGCTTGAGGAACTTGACGAGGGCACGCAGCACGCAGAGCAGACGAAGAAAGCCTGAAGGCGTGATGTGATGGGCTCAGGTGCGCGCAGCGATCGGGCCATCGTCCTCGCAGCAGTGCACGCAAGTCAAGGCAGAGCCCTCGCTCATGCCCCGAGCTTGGAAATGATGCATTGCTTTGCCTCTCGCCGGCTATCCGAATCGTGTAAGGCATCTCCCACATTACGTGGCGACAAGGCATGTCCGGGAATGCCTGGCTGCGTCAAGGGCATAATATGGTGGTGGCAGAAGCATGGCAGAAGCATTGCAGCTAGAATTGTGCTTTTGTACCAGTATAGCAGGAAATGGTCACCGAAGCAGTGAAGCGGAACGGACTTTCTCTGCGGCATGCCAGCGCGTCGCTGAGAGCAGACCGCGACTCGCTTCAAAATCATGCATGCCTGTATGCCTTTCGGTTGCGGTGTGTGCGAGTCGCAAGTGGCTTGTGCACACTTCGAGGTGATATCGTTTTGACGGCTATTCGCGAGTGCCCGTTGGCCTTGGAATTTGCAAGTGACGCGCTGCGAAAAGACCATGATTTCATCGTCAACGCGGTGCGTGTGTCGGCTCGGGCGGCTGGGTGTGTTACAGAGGCGCTGGGCCACGCTTGCTTGCTTGTCTTTGGGTGCATTGTAGGGAGATCCGCATTATTCCTGGACGTTTACAGGGTATTTACAGTTGGGCAATGCACAGAAGCTGCCTCCATAATCCCGGTGTGGAGAAGATTCGGGAGAAGGGGGGTGGGCTAAGTAGTTGAAGAACAAGAGTTGAATGTTGAGTTGCAATGCCTGGCAGAGTCGTCCGGTTGGCACAAAACGAGGCTGCAATGAAGGTGGTGTGGTGGTTGTCGGAATGTTTTCCAAGCACAGCCTCATGCTTGGCATGCTGTGCTTTGCGAGCTGTACGACTTTGCTCGCTGTGATTTGCAGCATCACAGAAAGAGATGTCTGGTCCGCAGACCCAGGATGGAATACTTTCATATGTGCAGTGGCCATGGAAGATGGCTGTTTCGTTTGCTCGTCAGGAGCTACAGAGAAACGGATCTTTCGCCGGTGAGCTGCTGTCCGCCTTTCCAGCTGTCTTTGCGCACCTGCCTCCGCAGTTGCGAAGATCGCGAGAGCCTTGCCCTCTTTTTGCAGGGACAGAACAGAATGGGGGCTTTGCATGCAGTTGCCAATCAACAGAACCCTGGCACACATGAGGTTCTGTCGAAGCCCACAGGCACAGAAATTTTCGTTGCGCAATGATCCCATTAAATGACGCATGCGGGTTGGATATAGAGAGAGAGAGAGAGAGACCTGTAGCCATTTTGGTTCAAGCCGTGAGTGGTTCAAGGTCCGAGCCCCAAAGGAGTAAAAAAAGGATCTCAACCCGGCCGCGACGGGGGGGAGAGAGAGATAGTGCTAATTGCCATCGCCCACAACGTGATCCTCCCGTGTCCTTTGCGTCTTCCTGCTGAAGTCCTTTTCAAAATCCGACGTAGCTTCTTTTCTCTTGTTGGTGTTGAAGTCAATCCAAGGTTTTAACCATTGTTTCTGTTTGAATGATATTACCCTATTAACTTTCTTAATTTTCATTCCTTGTTTCAAATATTATTTTAATATTTTAATGTGTAAAACATAGTTAGTCTTATCCATAACGTTTAAGATTAGTTTCTTGGTTTGTTCGTCTTTTGCTTCCTTGTTCTGGTGGTAGGACTTGTAAATCTCTTTCTGGGTTTCACTTAGCATATCTGCTTTTACACTCATTATTTCCGGTGCCAGTGGGTAGTCAATATGCTTATCGTGCAGTTCTTTAGGATATTCCAAATCAACATCCAAAATATAACTTTCATCGCCATCATTATAGTTTAAAATTTCTTCTTCAGTAAAAACACCAACATTATCAACAAATTTAATATCTTTATAAGGTAGTTTCTGACACATTGCCAACCCATATAAATTATTAGCATCTAAATGTTTGATGTAGGATGTTTCTTTATTTTCATCGTATTCATCACCCATATATGGATTGTTTGCTTCTGCTTTTCTTAAACTTGTCTGGCACATTCCTCCACGAAGTCCGTTTTCTACCATTTGATAGATGTCTTCATTATATATTAAATCTAGTGATATTTCAGTTTTAAGAAGCATCGCATCCCAAGCGAAATTAGGTAACGTGAAATAGTGGGCAGGGTCTAATCCATAATCTTCTAAACATTTGTTTCTAAAATTTTCAAATACATCGGTCAATAAAAGAACATCTGTCTGTAAGTATAAATCGTGATACTGTCCTAAATTTTGGATGTTAAAATGCTTCCATATCTTCTTTGCCCTATCGTATTCCGATTGTTTTATACCTTCTTCTGTCAGTTTGCTGTAGAAGTCTTCTATTTTAGGTAGTTCAGTTTCATTAAATTTATTAAAATCTGTAAAATAATCGTAAGGATAAACGCCTTTGTCAGTCAATAAATCTAAATCCTCATCAGTATTAACATAAACACTCTTCTTACTATAGTTAAATCCTTTTTGCCAGTCTTTTCTTTTATCGTTTTCTTCATATTTGGTTAATTTAACCAGTTTATCTAATGAAGACGATAAGAAACTAAAGCTGTCCTTAAACTCTAGTTGTTTCAATGAGAAAGTAATGTATTTTTCGCTGTTCTGTGCTATTACATTTATTTTATCTTTTTCTGTATTGAGTTTCTCCATATTTGATATTATTAGGTGTGCGTCGTAGTTCTTAAGATTATGAAAGAAGACTGGGATTTTAAAGTGTTTAAAGCAAAAATCTAAATTACATTTGTTGTGTGCCGCGCCTCTATATAATCCGGTAAAGTGGCAGTGGTCGGCAACTTTAGTTTTAGCGGGGTCGTTAGGATTGAATTTACCATTACAAATAAAACAATGTTTAGCCTTTTTGTGTTCTTCTTTCTGTTTATTACTTAATGTTTCCATTTTCTTCGGATTTTTCATCTTTTCAAACATTCCCTCTCTTATCTTATTCATCGTTGAACAAAACTTATCCATACAATCTTCCCCTCTATATAAATATGGTGTTGCTTCATTTGTTATACTGTTTATAACATTCAACATAAAACCGCAGGGCTTATGATGTTGGTAAGCCCCTTTCAGTGGCTTAGGTTCACTTTCGTTCACGTAGGTGCCTTTTATTCCGTCATTTGACGGTGCGGTTAAACACTCAAAATCTCCATAAATGACATAAGGACATTTTAAGCGTTTATAATGGTTTTTGAAAAACATCTTTTCGTCTTCCTTCGGCATTTTTGTGTGTTGTATTTCATTAGCCATGCAACCTTTTAATAAGTGGGCATTTAGTAACTTCTCGGATTGGAAACCATGTTGACAATACATACAATGAAATATCTTCTCCCGATGATTGTTCGTTTGTGCCCCCATTAAACGACTTAAGTCTTTTATTAAAACATAATGATTATTATTCTCTTCTTCTAACAGTAATAAATTAACGTGACAAGCTGGTCTTTGAATTTTGGTTACTCTATTGACTACTATGCTATTGGTTCCGTTTGGGTCAATCCCATAAACATTAACTGATATTGTATTATTATTTATGTTTTCAAATACATCAATATCTTCATATGTTGTTGGAAAATCAACACCATCCCAGTTTATTAAATTGTCTTCTTCTTTTAACTTCTTATAATGATATAATCTTTCTGGATGGTCTTTTTTCATTATTTCATAAAATTTACATTGAACGCAGTATTTAAAACACTGATTGTCTTCATTTTTAATATTAATACAAGCCTTTTTGGTTGAAATCCATTTAGGTAGTTCAATATATCTACCCGCTCTTGTTGGGTTGAATTTATAATAATGAATAACCAGCTTATTAACCTTATTTACTTTATAACCTGATTTTCTTAATTGTGAATTCTCTATCTTAATTTCTATGTCTGATGCCATATTATTAATTGCTTGTTTCAGCTCGTCTTGGTTGTTGATTGTATATATACGACTTGTGATATTATACGTATCAGAGTCTTCCTGATGCACTTGTTCGGGATGTTTGAAATCCATTAGTACATTAATTCTTATTTTCATGTTGTTGTTCTTTTCCAAAAACTCTTTTAGCCTTGCTTCTTGATATTTTAAATGTGATAATCCCTTGTAACCTTTTAGATTTATGTTAGTAATTGAATACGAGTTGGCATATCGTTTAAATGCGCTTGTTTCTTCTGTAACCTTTGCCTTTTTACTAATGGCATATTTCTTTAGCGCTTTCCTTATAGCTATGCCACTCGTTGCTTTTTTCAATATATCATATCGTTTATAATCCTGCGTTTTGGGTATGGTTCTCAATCTCTTTTTTAATCTATTTGAAAGTGGTTTTTCTTTATTATATGAGTATTCCTTACCATCAATAATAAGCTTGTTTAGTTGCTTATTTCCTGATGTTTTTATGTTGCCTACGCGACTACTAATTAGATAATCTATTATTTTACCATAATCCGGTTCTCCCATATACTATGTAGATCGCTTTTCTTTAAGTAGTTTTTGGCACGGTTTTGGGTTGGCGGGTTTATGGTTGTGGGTCTGGGGTTTCAACGTATTGTTAGGGATGGTGGTTTAAAATGTCGATTGAAATTTTTATGTTGATTATTATCGTTTTTCTTTTTTGTTTTATTTCCATTGTTAATTGCTAATGTTTTTAGTATGTTTTGGAGATTTTTAATTATATTGTGGTTGTAAAACGCAAAATCTTACTACAAAATATGTTGTATCTTGGTTTTTATGTTTCTTGAGCCGAAATCGTTTGAGCCGAATTTAGGGTTTAGGGATTTAAGAGAAAAAAAGACCTATTCAACCCGATTTTTTTAGGGGATAGGGTTTTCTCTCCCGGGCGTTTGAGCCGTTCTTTCTATTAGGGTGTTAGGGCCAAAACAAAAAACACCTAAACCCCTAAACCCTAAATGCACCAACGGACTGAGGCCATCGTGATGCTTTGTTTCAATAATGAGACAGTCGGATTTCCCTTGTTCGCTCAACCTTTTGAGGTGGTTGTTTTTTAAACCCTAAATTAAATCTAAACCCTAAACCCTGATGGGCGCACCAATGTCTGGAACTTCAAGATGACAATGTCGTAGATGAAGAGCACCACCTGTCGCGCACGATTTGCCACTTGCTTTAATGTTTTAATGGTATTGCTCCATATGCATAAGTTGATTTTTTCACATCTGCAAAGATGCCTCGTTTCTTCCTTACGTCCAGCATAACGGCACACGGATTACCCAGCGCCGACACGCTCATCGAAGGTCACGTGCTAATCTGCTTTTTCAACCACCCTACGGGGGTGTTAGTAACCACCCTACGGGGGTTTTAGTAACCACCCAACCACCCTACGGGGGTGTTAGTAACCACCCAACCACCCTACGGGGGTTCTAGTAACCACCCAACCACCCTAAGGGGGTAAGCAGACATCGGCACATGCAAAAAAATCACACAGTGACACAGTTCTGCACCTGCTCAGATGCACCTCCCTACGACACGATGTCGCGCTTCATCATCTCCTTCTCAATCAGTCCTAGAAAGGAAGAATGGTTGTACATGATATCGTCGTCCTTGAATTTGTAGAACTTCTCGGCATAAAGTCCCATGATGTAACCCATCATCTCACCGTGGAGCGATGAAAGAGCCTTGGATGCGGAACGTAGCAACGAAAGGGTCGGGAACAACTTCTCAACCACCACAGCGACGCGTGCCTCGCTAGTGTCTGCCTTTCCTTTGAACTTCTTCTCCAGCAACTCCTTGATAAAGGTGAGGTTGGCGTCGGAAGTGGTGCTAAGTGACACACCAACCACATCAATGCCTTGCGAGACGAGCATCTTTACGGAGTTGAGCTTTGAGACCTGCTCCTTCAAGAACTTCTGGAAGTCCTCGTCAAAGTCGTCGATGTTGTAACTCTCGTCGTCCTTGGTGGCATACGAAACAGCCTTGTCCTTCAAGTTCTTGATGGCATCCGCTTTGTTGATGCTCTTGCGAACATTGGCGAAGCCACCACCAGTCAAACCGAACTTTGCAGAAAGCACCGTGCCGTCACATCCGTCACGAAGTCCCAAGCCGTTGACTGTCTTGCGTGGAGCAAGGCACAAGTTGTTCAACTCACCCACAACGTAAATCTGCATCGTCTTTGCTGTTTTCTTTGACATGCCTTTGAAGCACGCGTTCTGGATTGCCTCACGAAGGTCTTTGACTGTAGCATTGCCACTGATGGCGATGGGAACCGTCCCTGAGCCATCACCGCACTGAATGTTCAAGGTGACCATCGCCTCCCTTGTCTCACGCTTAGACTCGCGCTCGCGGTCTGCCTTCTCCTTCTTCTCCTTTTCCTTCTGCAACTTGCGCTCTTCCTTCTCCTGTTTCTGGATGAATTTTTTTGATGTAGGTTAGCTTCTGGAAAGCAACCTTTGTCTCCATGGTTGCTTTTTCCAAGAACGCTTTCATCTTGGCCTTGTCGTCAATGCCAGCATGGAACTGTGCCATGAAGCCGATGTCATCTTCAATCTTGTAGGTTGGAACATCTGTTGAACCACTTGGAGCCTCAACGGTGCCGGAAGCACCATCGGATGGGTCACGGGGACTTCTTTGGCTGTCATTGATAGGTTCTTGTACATCCTGAGACTGAATGGATGCCTTGTCGCTTTCACCCTCCTCACTCTCAGAGCCTGAAGTGCTGGAAGGCGCTTCACTCTCGGACCCTTCTTCAACCTCCACACGTGCGACCTCCTCCTCAACATACCCTGACATCTTGGAAGGGGAAGCCATGGATGGAAGCAATGAAAGGGA